CCCCCCCCCCCCCCCCCCCCAGGAACCCCCTAGCTACGTCCATGCGAAAGTGACGTCCATTTTTTATTAGCCTTTGTTTTTGTGTCTAATTCCTGTGAAAACCCCCATTTTACCGCACTGAACAGTGAACCTCCCTCTCACAAAAACAAATGTTAGATGCGGAAACCATGGTCATTAAAAAAAGATGTCATTTTCGAACTTAAGGACCCAATAATAGTGGAAGTCAGCCATTGAACTCGCATTCTTCCTTTGGTGACATTGTCATTCATTTTCGATCAACTGGTACACCGCACAGTAACCACAGAGTAATTTTAAAAGCAATGAATGGCCACTAAGTTTCATCAACACTTTTAAGTAACAATAAAAAAATAAAAAATAAAAAAAAAAATAAAAATAAAAAAAAAAAAAAAAAAAAAAAAAAAAAAAAAAACGCAGGACTCTAGATGAAAGCGAGTGATAAAGGTTGATCCATTTTTAGCAGTCGTGAATGCATAGTTGAAGTGCGCTCCAGCGCTCCATGCACGCTGGCCTTTTCGATTTCCGTTAACATTTTTGCAGTCATGATTGCATAGCTTAAGTGCGCTCCAGCTAGAATTGTATTTAGCAAATGGATGGTTTTTTTACGAGGATTAAAAATAAATAAGTGATTCGGAATGTAACAAAAGAATATGAACTCTGCAAAACGATAATCCGGGTATCGGAACTTGGCTGTTTTGAAAACGCCTTCAAATGCGGCGTGATACCTCACGCATTCCGGAGAGTTCAAATAGTTGTATCATTGCGCCTTAGAAATGTGACTGAAGATTCAAATGGAAACAGCCTTCATACACGCTGGCTTTGTCGATTTCCTTGACATTTTAGCCAAACCTTTAAGATTAGCATCCGCTGCACTTGTTACCAACTCTGTCAAAGTAGAGGTTCAAGTTGAATGTTTTCCCCTCTCAAAATATTGTGGTATAACAATTTGTTTTGAAACAAGATTCCGGAGATATTTTCTACTCTCCCCTTCCTTCCCATTCAAAAACTAAAAAAATTGTTTATTTTGTAAATATTGTTCCAGTTCTTTCCATTTATTCATTTGGATGGAAATGGTCTATCTGCAAAATGGTTCAATTCGTTATGTACCAGTAAGGAAAAAGGAAAAAAAAGAAAAGGAACGCGAAGAAAATCAGAAAAAGAAGAAAAGAAAAGAGGAAAAAGGAAGAAAAAAAAGCAAAAAGAAAATACAATAAAATAAGTATAGGAAGTGCAAACATGTCATATTGTTTGATTTAAATAGGACGGAAATAAAAGAAAGGAGATAAAAAAAACATATGTCCAGGCGGCGCGGCGCAGGCGACGTCCACACTGACGTGTTACCGAATGAGAGCACTCCTATAACGAAAACCGAACGTGTCAAAAATGAATTTTTGAGGGAATGGACCTTTGGCGAGGCGTGAATGATCGACCATCAATTTTTCCCCATTTGAAGCTACGGTAAAGAATCGATCATTAAATCGATTAATCGCAAAGCACGCCACGCCACCGAAATGGACTGAGTACTTAGTACTTGAATGAAAAATTTCATTGAATCCTTCGGGTTTCCTCTCGTAATATTGTCAATCGTTTTTATCCACAAGACTCTTGAAAAGTCTTTTCTTCCGAAGGCTGAGGGCGGTAAATCGCACGGATCCCTGAGCCGAAAGCAAAGAGCGCCTTCATTTCCATCTTCAGGCAACACGGACATCCATGAAATTGGAACAGCACTAAAAGAAAATCCCTTGTGATTTTATGTAACTTTAAGAATCGTTTCTTGTCGGCGTAATTTGGTTGTTTTTCAAAAAGTTAAATCCATGCGGATTCAACTCTGCATGAGTTTTTTTTTTTTTTTTTTTTTTTTTTTTGAAAAAAACGTCGTTTTGCTATCGTTATGTTGAATTGAAGCTGTAAAAAAGATGACAAAACGAAGTTGTTTTAATTGAAAAAAAAACTAAATTTTGTCGACAGAAAACGATGCTTTAAGTCAAAATAATATCCCAAGAATTTTTTTTTTTTCAGTGGGTGATATTAAGTCCAAGCCACATTAAACTACCCGCACATCGATTTACTAGTAGGTATTAGACAGCATCGCAAGCGGTACCTAATTGATGCTTAAGTCGAAGTATGATGACCTTTCCAACTTAATAACGTACACCCATGTCCAATACATTAAGAGGCAACTGTCCCTGTTTTTGACAAACTACCAAATGCACTTACTTCGTGCATTTATGTGCCAAAACATCGAGAGCAATTTAGGAAAATTGAGGGCTTTCACTTTCAGGACAGGATGTAGATCTCAGCAAGCTAAAAAGTCAAGAAAATTTAGAACCTTATTGCAACGCTGACATGTGTGTTCAGTATTTGGTCGGAAAGGTCGATCTCAACTCATGAATATTTTATATCTTCATTGCAACGTTTCAAATCTCCTGGTACCTATATTTTATTTTTATGGTAGAAAACCAACCTAAAGTACCCTCTGGAAATTTCCTGTAATTCACTCGCATAATAGCACCTATCTACAAAGGGGGACTAATGGCACATGTGTTGTTGCTGAAATGAGTCTAAAATAACAACTGTTCTTTATTGTTAAACGTAGTCCATTTGGACCGAGTATCAGAAAAGAGCCACCCTTATTTTCGAAAAAAATTGAGTTAAGAATGTTTTTGAGTTTCACTAGCTGTATCTTTTCTCCTGCGAAAAACTGAAAGTCTAAATACGATTTTTTTTTTCTTTTCTTTTTTTTTTCTTCTTTATAATGAAAAAGAGGGGTTAAAGTTTTTTTTTTTTTACATTGAGCCTTATGCAGGAATAAAACTTCAAACTTCTTTTCCTCAGTTTAAACTTGATGTGGGTTGGTTCCTCTCTGATGAACTCTGTCTAATTGGCACGCGACGGTCAACGGTTGAGTTTCTCCGGGGAGCCAGATCGCTTGGGACAAAAACAAAGTTCCTTATCGTCGACTATCGAATTTATTCCTTTTGAAGCTATGGTGAAGAATCGATTATTATGGTGCTCGTTGCAAACGCCCTGACAATCGATCTTTTTTCATAGGTTTGAATGGCAGATCAATCGACGTATCGCAAAGCACGCCACGCCACTGCTCCGATATCACTTCTCCTCGTCTGAAGACGTCGCCAGGACTCCAGGAGGGTGAGTCTGAAAGGCCTCAGGTGGGGGGTCAAGTCTCGCAGCAGGAGGCGGGCCTTCCATGATCACCCTCTTTATTGTTGCCGCTGTCAGACCGGAATATCTCAATTCTCACCCACATCACCTCCTGCATGTTTTATTTTCCAACGCACAACGGCAACGCTGCACAGCGCGTGTTTGAAAAACAGGAAACACGATTTATTCGAGCGAGCGAGCTGCCTCCAGCAATGAGAAGATTGATCCTCTCTTCGCCTTCACAAGACGAAGTATGCAACACGCGTCACCGTGACTCGGGAAAGCGCTGCACCCATCATGCCGCTGCCGCTGCCATGAATAGAAACGCCACATGTTAACGCTTCCAAATGTTCTGCAAAAATATATCCATTGAATTTGTATATTTTAATTGATTTTCACTTATTGTGTCAGAAAATTGCAAGGAAAGTTATTCATGGCCGTTCTCAGAAGTAAGTATTTTGGCGGTGGAAATTTGGCAGCGCTCGAATGTTGCCCAATCTCTGCGATAGGATGTTCTGTTTAAAAAGAAACTGAAAGTAATTTTCCGAATTTTTTTTTTAGAAATACATTAAATTATGAATATATCATGCTGCGGAAAATGTCGAGAAAGAAAATTACAAGTTTTCTAGAAAAATTGTATTTTATTGGAAAAAATTCGGCAACTTCTGGATGTTCGTGAGGCTTTTTTCCTTAGCACGGCCTCGCAGTGCAGTAGTTTCAATGAATAGGTACATCGGCGGTGAAATTGCAAAATCGCGTTACTCAATTTGCCTCGCTGCAGACACTCTCGCATAATTTATATTTTACAATATATTTTATAATAAATGAAAAATAAGTACTCTACATTATTTCTTGTAACAACCCCCCCCCTTTCAGAGTAAATCATTTTATGTACAAATGTAACGCAGTTTCGTTGATTCGCTCTCTTTTATTTATATTCTTAGATTTTTCTTTCTCTTTTATTAAAATAAAGTGGGAGCGGACATGTTGCAACACTGCAAACGAGATGCGCGTTTTTGCAGTTTCACTGTCGACGCACCCTCCCGAAATGGCGCGACTAATATTTTAAAAAATAAAATTTAAAAAGAAAAGAATAAAGAGAAATACTTAGTTGACATTTATCGTGCGTTGATGAAAACTTAATTTTAAAGAAGGAACTAGAGAAACAACGTCTGATTGGGGTGTTTGAGAGCCTCCTTTCTC